ATTTTTTAAAACAGTTCAAAAAAAAAAAATACTTAAATTAAATAAAAATTGACCAAGTTAGAGCAAGTTATGTTTTTGAATAATTGTAGTAAAAAATAAATTAGGAATGCAAAAGTATTGTCGTGTGCTGAAATTAGATATTCCATTATTGAAATGTGAAACAATAATTTATTTTTTTACTACAATTATTCAAAAACATAACTTGCTCTAACTTGGTCAATTTTTATTTAATTTAAGTATTTTTTTTTTTTTTGAACTGTTTTAAAAAATATGCTCAACAAAATGGCTATCTTAAAAATTTTAAATTCTTAAATACGTAAAAAAATTTCTTGAAAATTTTTGAATTTAAAGAAAAAAATAAATGAATTTTATGCCATTCAATCAAAATTTTCATACTTAGTACTGTAAAAAAAACTGCGTTTAAATATAGTGATTTTACATGGAGATATTAAGGGTGATACGGGACTTTTGGGACATACTGTATAGGTTATAAAGCATGCAACTGTTTAAGAATAGTTACAAAAATATTATACACCTGAAAAAAGTAACCTTTTTTCTATAAACCGTTTACAGTGAAATAAATGAAACGTTTTGATTGATCATCGTCGTACTTTGTGATCTAATTTTTTTAAGATAGCTGGTAACCATGAAAAATGTGCCTCCTTAAAAATTTTACTTTTTGAATATTTAGGCATATTTTATTCATTCAAAATAAAAATATATATAATGGTTATTCAGGTACGATATGCACAAATGCACAATGCATCGCCCTAGCGGAGCCGAATCCTATATTATGTTTATGTTTTTTTTTATGTTTATGTGATTTTCCGTTTTAATGGAAATAAGAGATAAATTGATGCATATTTATATGGTTAATGCCAGTTGCGTAGCCAGAGGAAAAGCTAACCCACCCCTATTGGCAATAACCGTACAGGAACCGATATCTGAAATAAACATCGACGTCTCAGTATGCTAAAGTTATGGGAGGCCCTAGTCAAACCAACTCTTTGTAAACAGATGACCCCCTCCCAAAAATAAAATAATCTAGTTACGCCACTTGTTCAGACAATATGAATCTAATTAGTAATTACGTGGAGGTACAAAATTCTGCTTTTTAAATGCGGACCACTGTTTTCTACTGTAAAATATTATTTAATGGATAATTTTTTTTTTGAAATATTGACGGTAAGATGAGTACCATGAAAATCAAAATTCTATCGAGTATTTTTTAAGTGTAATAAAGATATTAAATCCATAATAATGGATTTGGAAGATATGGAGCTGTTTTGATTTTAGTAATTAATATTAATCCATCGACAAATTTATAACTTGTAAATATATGGTCCATGTATAATAAATATTTGATCCAAAACTATACAACTATTTTGTATTTTTCTAAATCTAGTTTTAAGGATTATATTATTATTATTATAGTAATCCTTAGTATACAATTTTAATAACTTAGAAACTATATAATTTACAGTAAAGGGGGAGGGGGTGGAATTGTCATTCGTAAAACAGAAGGTTGTATAGCCGTCCAGTTGCCTATTATTTAACCAGTACAAAAAATGTCAAGTATATTTAAAAATATAATCTTAAAAAATTACAAAAACCAGAATTTGAATCATTATTAAAGGGAAAAATACAGGTGAACATTCCCGGTGAATAGCTGTATACGAGTAAATAAAAAAAACGTGTAATTGTTAACTACAATATGCATTGCAGCGTCATCGATGTTTCAATTGGTAACTATAAACAAAATATGTAATTATTGTACAAATATCGTCTTTCCATATTATACGAAGTAGAAATGTAGACTTTTGGCCACATATGGGGGTCTCGGTCGTTGTTTATTCATTTGGCCCGATGAGCTCATGTGTTTAAAAGTTTGGAGCCTCTTAAGTTATTCCGCACCCATATAATATACCGTTTATCCGCGAAAACTGCAGGGTATAATTAAGCTACCCATATTATTCATTATATATCCTATACATATTTTTGAATTCTGTTTGTGGACCATGATGAAACCATAAGTCTATGGTTTCATCACTATTGGATCATTAATCTCCTGCAGACAGAAATCTAAAATTTATACATGGTACCTACTGAGTAATGTAGGTAACTGAGTTATTATAGAGTGTACCCAGTTTACACACGGTATATCGTCATTATATGACATGTCGTCGTTGCCCGGGACGCGTATAAAACACGAAATAATAATTTCATAATAACAAAATATTATCGATTTTGAGGTATGTTCCTTATATAAATTTATACTTATTATAGTGCGCATAATAAGAGGCAATATCAGTAGTTGCGTACACACACTGCATGCGTCACACATGATATAAATAATATTACTATTATATTGAATTGAACCATAAAAACTGGTTGAGAATTAAGATCGTAAAGTCAGTGGCGGATTTGAGGGGGGGGGGGGTTGACTTGCCGATTACCTCCCCCCTAGGGCTTTTTTTTTATTTTAATATAGCGTCTTATGATATAATGAATATGAAATTCATAAGTCATGCCTAACTATAACTTTAAACTTAATAAATGATACAAAAAAGGTATTTTTTTTGAATATCTTATCAATTATATTGTTATTTGATTATCAATACGAATTATCGAATTTGAATAACATGATTATGTTCAAAACCAATTTGAAATTGGTTATAACACTTATAACCATGGATAATAAAAGAATATATTCTTGGTTATAACCAAAATTGCTGTAGACGACTTGCTACGGCTTAAGTTTTAGATAATAGATAGAATGACAGATAAAATCATTTTACCGCCAAGCAGTGCTGCACCGCCGTATAAATCTGTTGGGGAACGAAAAAAAAGTTTCTGGGCAAAAAAAAGTTCATAAAACTATTAAAATAATTTTTAAAAGTCACAGCGATTACAATTTATACAACTAGGAATTTTATAAATACCTATGTAATATTTTTTTTCTATTCTGACATCTAACTTAGTGGTATAGATATATTGTATATATTTTTAATAATATTATTAACTAAGATTCAATGAGATATTTATTTATAATTTTATAATTAAGAGCTATTATTTTTGTTTAATATCTGTTTTGCATTTATTAGAATAATTTTTAAAAGTTACAACGATAACAATTTATAGAACTAGGTTTTTTATAATTATGTTATGTAATGTAATTTTCTGTTTTGTATTTAGTATAGTTACCTATTATATGATTACATAATTATTAGATATTATCTTTAGATAACAGACTTTCTACCCCCAAGACTTTTTTCAGGATACTTTTTTCCCGGGACTTTTTTTCCTACCATCAAATCTGTTATCACTTCATTTTTATAAAATAAATTAAATATTTTGTTCACTGTGACTGTGGTAAATAACTCAATTTTAATATTGAGTGCTGAATATTTTATTTTCATTGTTTATTGACAGATTTGTGGCTGGTAATAAGAGAACCGTACAATTGTAGCTCAAATAAATTATTTATACATTTGTTTATTTAATATTGAATAAAATTTAATTTTTTTTATAAATATAACAGATTGTTTATCGACTAATATGTATATGTCGTAGCCACTTCGTGAAATCGTACTTTTCATGAAAAGATGACCATTTCATGAAATGGAAACGGATATTTTACACTTCGTGAAATTCGAAAATATTTCACAAAATGGTCATTTTTTCATGAAGTGGTCACTCAAATTTAACATCGTGTAATTTTTTTCACAATCCGGTCGTTCACTTTGTGTAATGGAATACAACAGGTAAATGAATTGTGACAACGACTGTTACATTTTATACTAGCTTTAAAACAAACACATCTTTTGGTTTGACGTTATTATTTATATCTATTAATCACATGCCGATGTCAAATACAATAAATATTATCTATACCTATTCTATATGACTATTATACCTGCCTAATCGCCAGACTATCTGAAATGTGTAGATGATATTTATTGGTTTTGACTTTTGATTAAAGTCATAATCACATAATGTCATATCAGCATTTTGGTAATTCCACACAGTGTGTCAGTGTATAACTGCTGTTCGATCACATTTCTAAAAGTTTTAATTCTACGTACCTCTACGCAATGGAAGAATTTAATGATAAAATGGAGTTTTATAAATAAGATAATACACGAAGAACGTAAAGCTGGGCATGCAGGTCAAGAAAAAGCCGCCAAAAAAATGTTACAGGTACTTTAATATAAGTACAAATTTATCATAGATAATAAATTAAATTTTTGTTTTTCATATAGGTTAGCAATGCCGTAATTCCAGAGTTCAAAATTAATGACTGCATCACAATTTCTGTTCCAAAAGTCGACAGAGGGCCATCGGATCCTGCTCGCGTGATTGCTGTCATTATTGAAAAAAAAAAATGAAATGTACAAAGTAGGAACTACACACGGGTTAATTAAAGGATGGTTCAATTCTGGAAATATGCAGCATGCCACTGCAAATTTTATTTTAGCTGAACAGTTTAACAAACAAAAAGAATTAACCTTGCGTGAAACTGTCCAGGTCGTATCTGGAGGTCAGGGATTCCTAAGTTGTTCATGTAAAAGTTCTTGTCAAACCAAAAGATGTGTTTGTTTTAAAGCTAGTATAAAATGCAACAGTCGTTGTCAAATTCATTTACCTGTTCTAATAAATAAAAAAATTATTGTAATATGAACAATATATATTAGTATTATATAAATAGTTATAAATATAATAATATAATGTTTAGTTAAATTAATAAAATATATATAAAAATAACTTATAGTATTGTTAAAGTTAAAAATAAGTGTACTTAATAAATACGTAATAATAAATGAGTGTTGTATTCGATTACACAAAGTGAACGACCGGATTGTGAAAAAAATTACACGATGTTAAATTTGAGTGACCACTTCATGAAAAAATGACCATTTTGTGAAATATTTTCGAATTTCACGAAGTGTAAAATATCCGTTTCCATTTCATGAAATGGTCATCTTTTCATGAAAAGTACGATTTCACGAAGTGGCTACGACATATATATTGAAATTCTATGATAAAAATTCGCTCCCTCCTTAAATGAGCTTCAGATCCACAACTGCGTAAAGTTCATGTGAGTATACACACACCAGATCACCCACATACAAAATATATGTATAATGTATATACGTTGCTCATTTGACATAATCAGACATAATTTCAAGAATAAAAAGTATGGTATTTAAGTATATATTTCAAAGTTACAAAAATCATAATTTGAGTAAATTCAATATTGAAGAGAAAAATGAACGGGGTCCGTTGTATATGAATTTGCCCCGATGAGTTCATGTGCTTAGAATTTTTGAGACACTCTAGTTTATTCGCATCTATATATTATTATCTATTATAATATTTGACATGTGACATGTCGTCGTCGAATAAAACACGAAATAATAATTTAAAAATATAATTGTCGATTTTGAGTTGTGTTTTACTTCTTTCTGCATATTTATTAATAAGCACTAGTGAGTAAATGTAAATCCGTATAAGACTTGAATTCAATGATATAATATCATTGTATACGAAAAACGTTTCTGAGCGGAGACGGTTTGTCAGTCTGGATATTTTATATTGTTATTTTATTTTATTATGGCCTGTAAGTTGAATTAATATTATAAATTACAACAAAATAACTAAAATCGTTATTTTTGGAACGAAGTTCCTTATGGGGCGTTAGGTGGATGGGAGTCGCTGGAAAAAAATCGCAACTGCAACTCCAAAAAGCGTAACACCGAAAAGCGTAACACTGAAAAATTGCTCGGCTCGGCTCGGCTCTGCTCGGCTGCCGGCTTACATATCCCCTCCCTCCTCTCATATTATCGTATGTCCCCACTAGGATCGTACCATCTGGCAACCGGGTTCCATTCGCGTAGGCTACCCAACATCGGTCGTCACGCGCGTAGAGGTGACCGTCGGGCGGAATGGGGGGGGACCCATTAAACGAGTAATTATTTTTGACGAAGCATAACTTAGCCGGTATTCGACTTAGAGACCCCGGACCAATGGGCATCTCAATTTTTTAGGCCCCAGATGAATTTTCAACATTAGGGAACCAAAGCCCCCACCCCCCACATTTTGAGTTGAGTGTAACTCGGCCGGAATTCAAGTTAAAGACCTCGGACCAAGGGGGAACCCATTCTTATTATGAAGACTACAGTTTTCCGCTTTAGGGAACGGGGGCACCTCCTCCCCCCCTTTTGGATTTTGCTTTTTTGATGGATTTTGGTCCGGGAGAGTACTAACACCCACCTCGCCAAGGGAAAACTCGGGGTTTTGAGTTTTTGATGGGATTTATTGGGATTTTCATAAATATTGTTTTTATTCATAAGGAAAGTGATAAGAATTTTATTTTCAAAATAATTTTTGCCCCTTAAATTTATAAATTCCATTGTGATTTCCATTTACCTTCTTCTCTATATACATACAAATCTATTAAACAAATGAAATTAAAATTTACTTTTGAAAAACGATAATCGAGTACAAGCTGTATCAACCGTATCATTATTAAAATTTCTTTCAGTAGAATTGACTTAACCATCAATAGGTTTTTTTTTTTTTTCTTTTTATTGGATAACCCGCGGCAACATAGGCCATTGGGTGTTGGGAGGGAACTGTAGGTTTTTAGATTGGGTAGGTTGGTACACGTGTGTGTTTGTGGTGGCAGAATTTTTATTGGGGCACCCGTAGGTTTCTGCCATGCCCCGGGTTGGGGGATGGCGGCACTTGTACTCCGGAGTCCGGACACCGTGACTTGCCCGGAGAAAAATGCCGCCCAGTGGTCGAGAGGCGAACCCGCGACTGCCAGCGCCGCAGTCGACGCGTTAGACCTACTGATTAATTTCATAATTGCTTTGTACTTTTATAATGATTAAAATACCATTTTTTCATAATACTCAGAAAAAATTTATTATAATTTTATTACCATGCGCGCGATATATTTATACAAGCATTCATTTCTCTCTCTGTCTCTCTCTCTCTATCACTATTTATTTATATTTTTCTAACCATATATGTTTCCGCGTCTCGCATCACATGCACTGAACTTCGTTCCTGCCGAGTGTTCAATAACACTCACTGTTTTTATTTTTATTCGTTTCTATGGTGATAAGCAAAGCGTTAGAAATTAAAATCCCATTTTTGGATCTTTTTTTGTAATTTGTCGGTGGTTAAATAACTATTGAGAAAATCCAAAAATGTCCTCTCTAAAGTACCATCTTTATCCAATTTGATAAAATATAAGATACGATGTTTTGAAATCGAAGCACTCCTTCTAGTAGAAATTTTATATACAGGATAAAAAAAAACACCATTGTAAAACCACTAGATCCTTCACTTCGCTCGGATACTAAAATATAATTATTGATGTTGATTCGTGTTTTGATTCTTTCTGCCTAATATATGCATAATATTATGTATAAGCAAATATAGTGCGTCCAGCTAAGGACAATATCAGTTTTAGTTACGTACACACACAGTGCAAACTTCACTCACCCGATTTATATAATAATATAATTATTGTTATATTTAAGGAGACAACTGTAAACGCGTTAAGATCGTTAAGTTCATATGCACGTATTGGGGAGAGTGTTAATGTACCTTGGGACCATTTTTATTAAATGTCCCCTAACAGCTCTAATTGTTAATATTTCACGCAAATGAATATTATAAATATTGTAGATATAATAAACTTATACATGAGTATTTCTTTTTCCAAATCCTAAATCAACAGCATTCTGAAATAATTTTCTTTTTTTTTAAAATAAAAAAAAGGTCCAAGGTACAACGTATAATGTATTAATGTACTTTGGAATTTACATAGAAATATAAAAAAAAAATTAAGGTAACCGATTCAGTATATAGATAATATATACCACTTAATCTTAGGTAGATGATAAAAGAAATTTTTTAATTTTTTAAACCTTAAAATGTATGATTTGATCCAAGGTAATGCATACCAATTTGGAAAGAATGTAATTTTTTGGACCCTAATACTAATTGTTTGTCTGAATTGACCACACCGTTAAATTCTATTCAATATTTAAATAAAATGACACTATATAACCCTAAGAACTTCTATAACAAATTTAAATGTTGAAAATAAAATTAAAAAAAACCAAAAATCATAATTTTGATAGGCTAAATTAATTTTTTTTATTTTAAATTCATCTGTTGTTTTATTGTTCTAACTGTGGATATATTTCAATGTCGTAGAACTAGTAGCTATAATTTCTTTCATAAATTAATTCTTTACCAATTACAAAGGCATAAATAAGCATAAGATACCAAGGTATATGCGGTCCAAGGTACAACACTCTCCCCTACATACATCCGCACGGCAGCATAAAAATATAATTTGTTTCGGTGTTTCCGAATTGCGGACAAAGTGACGAAAACCATGTGAGTTGCGGACGAAATCTAAAAAGGTAACATACGAATTACGAACACACAAATATAAGATACTAATTGCGGATAATGTTACAATATTCACGTGGTGAAATCAGTAGAATATCATATATACAGGCTGTTTTAAAAACCATGACGATAATCTATAAATATTTAATAAGCAATTTTTTCCACAAAATTAAAACAATCGATAATTCAACAACATTTTAAAAATAACGATTTGCAAGACACAAATATTTTTAACCCCAACTACCAATTTTTTTTTTAGCTAAATGCTAAATGGACTGGTTTAAGGGACGACGCGACGATGCTGATCAGAGAGTGGTAGGCGGCTTTATCAAAAATGTTATCGTGAGCTTGGGAACTAGATTATTCTTTGGCGGCAGATACCCTTTTTTTTTCTTTCCTTTTCTCCGGCGGCATCGTATAATAAAGTCACACATCCTGCGTTTTACTGTTATGAGTGGGTGCCGATATCTTAGTTGTCGTTAATAATGGTTTTATTTGATGTGACCGATTTCTACAAACGACCGGTGGCCGTTATTTATTAAGTATTCTGTAAGATTTTAGTTTATTATAATGGTGTGTGAGCATATCATTACACAAGTCCTGAAAAAGTGGTGAAGGGAAATATTTGTGTCCACAACTAACGTAGTTTTTATTTAAAAAAAGCTCTGTACGCAATTAGTATCATGACAACGAAACTCGTGTCCGCAATTGTTATATTATAATTCCTAACCTGAATAATTCGTCCGCAACTAGTATGTGTCCATTTGTTTTCATTGGGCTCATTTGACATGAGCATACATAAACATAATGTGTCAAGAATTTGAAAATATGGTCTATAAGTAGGTATACAATATGTTTAAAAATTAAAAAAATCAGAATTTAAATACATTCATTATTGAAGGAAAAAATTAACGCAATCCGATGTGTATTCATTTGTCCTGATGAGTTTAAT